CTCGCAACGAACTCTGTTAGAATTCCCAAGGTTTCACTCATAAAACAGATAGTTTCGAGCATAAAATAATGCAAGCAAGATACAGTTTAACATATAAAAAATCTAAAATTCATACACTGAAAAAAATAATTTACATGACCAGAAAAAAAGCCTGTGGCTCTGATACCAATATAATAAAATAAGTAAGGAGACTTACAATTCTCTCTTTAGCGACAGTGGATTGTCTACAAAAGCCAACTCAAATTACTAGTCATTGAAAATCCTCAGATAGTGGACAGACTTCCTGTTACAGATCCATTACAAAAAATTACTAATTATTCTTTTAGCAGAAAACTAAATCCATTGATAATCGATTCTCAACCTAATATACCTATTGATATCATCAGTCCAACCGATTTTTCAATTGGAAAATGACTATAGTATTTTTTTGGTAGTTATATATTATTTTTGGTAGTGATAGTTTTGGTGAATTTGCGTCAAACAAATTATCAACCTCTATATGAAAACAAATTTGAAATTTAAGCTACAAAATGGCTTTTACTAATGCTTGCCCCCAAAAATAGATAACAATTAAATTTATGTATAGTATTAAGATTATGCGGATTAATTCAATATAAATGATAAATTAAATTACATTAAACAAATAAAGGTTATAATAAATTTTCAAACCACTTAAGGGGAGTGATCCCGGACTCAGTAACAGCTTTAATGAAATACCCGCATTCGATCCTGGGCTCACAATATTGAAGAACAGATGAACAAAAGTAAGAACTCTAAATAATAGAGAAAATAAATGTATATTGCCTTGATATGCGAGTTACAATATCTCTAATGAATAATTATACTCTTTTTTATATAGTAATGGAGTTTTACCCTACGTACAATTCCTTAAAAGGTAAAAGTCTTTTGTTTTACTAATCACTGATTTTCAATCGATATGTGTTGTGATTCACATCGTAACATCCTGTTGGGCACAGATATCACAGTCCTTTGTCAGTCATGGTTTATTATCTACTAATGCTCTTAGAAGTTTTGGGATTCGAATCAGACCTGGAAGATGTGGCCCTGATTCTTCCGAATTGCGACTCGTGGTGCTCCTTGCCCCGATTCCATTTCCTTACAGTCATATCTCTGCTCCGTTTCCTTCGAAAAGCGAGGCGTTCCCCGGGATCGGTTTCACTCGTATACAACTAAATCTACCGCATAAATAAATGTATCAAAATTCTTAACATGCATTGCCATAACTACAATCATATAACGAGAAAGCGACTTAAAAAAAGTATTAAGATCTTTGGGGTATTCATTAAGTCAAGACGATCTAGACTCACGTACTCTTTTTGGAATTAAAATCAAACTTTCCTTGTAAATTATAACGCGCAAACTTTGAGGATACCCTTGTAAGTTGAACTCCTTGTCTTCATTGGAAATAAGATCACAGGAAATAAGAAGTGCACTTTTGTTTTGAAGAAACAATAAGTGATTCTTCCAAATTGTTAGTGGGGATTTAAATGGAAGAGGTCTAATTATGTACTTCTTAGTGCATGAATCGTGTACACCATAGTCCATCATTATCCATACATCCATTGACTATTGTGTCAGATCAGTCTCACCATATGAATTGGGGTAACAAATTAATGTTAGGGACTCGTTCAAGATTACAAGGCTATAACACTTCCCATCGTAGTCATTGCAAAAATTAGGCATCATCATGGTGCGAAATATCTCAGTTATCATGTCAAAACAAAGAATTACCATTGCGTCAATTGTATCTGCATACCAATGAAAGGCTCCTTTATGAAAGATCTCGAAATGTGGCAACCAATGAACTCTAGGAATTCTCTCCAAGAATTAGTGTGCAAATCATAAACCTCAACTTTTTGATCTATCACGTCCGGAGACCAATCAGTATCCTTAAAAACATCTAAAATCCTAATCAACTTGTAGTCATTCTCGATCCAATCGAAACCAAATCCAACACCGCCTACAATGGAGAGATTGAAACCCTCTGATCAAACAAAAAGGATAGATGGGAGTGGCATGTAATTTCTAGTAGCTGGATTAAATAAGATAATAATTTCAAAATCCGTCAAAGCAAGTAAACCATTGCAAGGGCCGACTAGTTCATTATAAGCATAGTAATAACTGAAGGTCAGATATGGAGGATATAGATCTGGAAAGATGGAGTTAAGATCATCATCATTATCACTGTAAATAATAGATATGTCATTTTTTAATCCGTTAGGTTCTACTTTGATGGAGCGACTGAAAAGAATGAATTCGTTTTTTCTTGTTGTAGGGCGATTAAGATGAAGATTAATAAATGTTGAGGATTGTACGAGAGTATATCAAGTTGTGGAGATTCCCTATCAAAGAATTTAAAGCAGAGTAAGCTAAGGGGACTTCCCTAGTACTCAGTGCTGATTGGAGACGATGCCAGGATCAAGGTGACATGCTCGTCCTAGCGCCCGGAGCAAGCCCATGATCCTTTTCTCTGAGCTAGCATTTTGAGTAGCCAAAGTGTCAACTCTAGCACTCAGGTCATTGACCGAAGTGCATAGGCCAGCCATATCTTGTTCCAAAGTAGTCATCTGGGTACTCCGGCGAGCCTGTGATGGGCCTGCCTCATCAGCAATCGGCCCCGATGGGGCGGCAGCATGCATAGTTTCCTCATCATAGTCATCAACATCATCATCATCCGCCACAGCCTGCTCTTTCCCAACTGTAATTTTTGCTAGCCTTGAACGCGACTTTTAATGGCAACTTCCCTTATACTATGGAATTTTCAGGAACTCGTGAAGCACGACACAACTTGGTGACCAGGGAAGGGAAGTAGAACCCTTTGAGTATTTCCGGGGAGTGAATGAATGTTTCATCATGAATGAGTCGGGCCACATCAAAATCATGGCGGGTTACAAAACAATAAATTGCCATGGCTCTTGGTCCATTAACATCTGTAGTATTGCTGGAAGGCAGCAAACGGCTGTTGATGATTATTAGCCAACACATATATCCCCAAGTGAGAGATTGGGAGTTCAGGGTCATTCTTGGATTTATCCATATTGGATCCCGGCCAGCCACACAGATTGTTTCAACAATTGGTTTCCACCAGACAGGTGGTTGTTGATAATCATGATAATAATCCGTCTCTCCAGTGAAGACCATCAACCTGTACACTCGGCGGATGTCCTTAAGAGACGCATCCACCGAGGTATTTCGTACCGTGACCGCCCTATCAACATGGTCCAGATAGTTTGCATAAAATTACCTTACTATCAATACATTTACCACTTTCGGTTCATCAATGAAGATGTCCAGCTGACTCCTCCTCAATTCTTCATAGATACTTGGGAATTCAACCCGCAAGGCATGCCTGTCAATGTGTACTGCCAGCACCAACTTCTTGGATGTCTTTGCATTAAACCTATCTTGAGCCGTTTTGGAGACAAATCAAGTGCAATCAAACTGGCTCGAACTAGCCTGAGCGCGAGCTCTTGATGAACTTCCTGGCCCACTAGCGGAGGAACCTATGACACGTCTTTTCCTTTATTGGTGCATTGTACCTGACAAAATAATGACTACTATTAGTGAGGGTTTGATTTGTGTGAACCTTGGGTGGTTACTCAGACTTCACCACCACCATGGTCACATTACAATTTCACAAGCAACTGGTGTGCATGGAACTATGGTTTAATCTCTTATCCCATGGAAGTACAAACTCTCCCCCCAAATCTACCACAATCACTTCCACAATGAACTTCACACAACAACACCATGCCGTTCTCTACTACATTCTATACATTACCCACTAAAAGGAAGAAGAATAAACCACAAATTTGAATATAGATACTACAACAATTCAAATATTAAAAAAATTCAAAAGAGAAGGGGAGAATAAGAGAGGAGGAAATCATGACATACCTGGTTCTTGTGGAGTTGGACTGTAATGGAAGTTGGGGAGGAGGGAGTGTGTGTGTGGTGGGGGAAAGAAGCGGGTTTGTGAGAGATGGAAAGAAGAACAAGAAGAAAAAGAAGAAGAAGGGCATGGGAGAAGTCAGAGAAGTT